AATGTATGCATGCCCCCCGTTACCTATGAAATTTATATTAAAGAGGAAATTGAAAACTTTTTGAAATACACCAGACAAAACAAGAGCGATTAGATAAACTACTGTGCAAAAAAGAGGGAAATAGGGCATCTTAAAATAAAATTTTTTGAAATAAAATTGAGAATGGAAATGGGGAATGTGTCAAAGAGACAACAACCCGACCATAGATCAGACAACAGCCGAAGGCCAGCAATGGGTCTTCAATGCAGCGAGGAACTCCCGCACCCGAAGCGTCCTTCAGCTGTCCCCTAAACAAATATGTATACTAGTTCAGTGATAATGGACGTCATACTAAACTCCAAATTATACACAAGAAACTAAAATTAAAAATGATACAAGACTAACAAAGGCCAGAGGCTCCTGATTTGGGACAGGCGCAAAAATGCGGCGGGGTTAAACACGTTTTTTGAGATCTCAACCCTCCCCCTATACCTCCAATCAATGTAGAAAAAACAAACGTACAACAGTACGCACAGTAAAACTCAGTTTAAGAGAAGTCCGAGTCCGATATCAGAATAGGAAACAAAAGAAAATAAACAAAATGACAATAATACATAAATGAACAAAGGACTACTAGCAGTTACTGACATGCCAGCTCCAGACCTCAATTAAACTGATTGAAAGATTATGTCTTCATCAAATGAAAATCAAGTACAATCCCTCCCGTTAGGGGTTTAGTATCATACCATCATAAAATATATGAGAAGAACATAACCCGTATCATGCCAACAACTGGTTTTAGGATAAATGTGTTTAATTCCGATGCAAAGACCCTATAAGTGAATCAATATTAAAGCCAAAATATGCAATCTTTAATGACCTGACAACAGTATCGTATCTATATCCCTTCTAAATACGTCTGTTTAAAGGTTTTGTTAGCTTTTGAGGTGAATACTGACATTTTTGTGCTTTGTTAAGTATATTACCATAAAAGATTGGATGTGAAAACATGTTCTATAATTTTTTTCTTAAACGACTAGACTTCAGAAAAGTGTTAATGGTGAGTATTAATTATTTGGCACTGATTGGATAACCAAATCATTTGTTACATGTACAATTTTATATCATTTGTGTATGCACATTTTCGCAGCATCCAGGAGTCATAAAGATCAAAGACAGGTAATCTCAGAGTCGGAATAAAGTTTTAATCCTGCATACTGTTACTATAAATACTGCATATATCATTTGTGTCCTCATTAAGCAGGGTTTTATAATCATATCACATCAATATTATCTCATCCTGGAAAGGTCACAGTTATGCTATGGATTTTAAGGAGAACATGTAATTTTCGTTTGATCATAATCCATTTCTAAAATTGCAAGTTGAAAGCTAGGAGTACTTTCATTGGTATTGTGACAATTCTTTTCTGTGCATTCATAAAAGTTTGAATAGCATGAACAGTACTTTAATATCTTATAAATTTACTGCTAGTGAAAGAATCACAGAAATGACTGTTTTAACAATCAGAAATGACTGTTTTAACAATCAAGTGCATTTGAGTGTTTCTATCAATTGCCACAGAAACTAACGATTCAGATTGCCACTTCTTCCAGGTTGATTTAAATTTCAATTTTCCTGGCATGATTTGTTATAATAATGAAATTGGACAGATAAGTGTCGAATAGCTTTTGAAAATTAAGCTATTTAGACAGACTTTCACTTCAAAACTTTGTGTGATGAATTAGCTACAGTATTACATGTGTAATATGAAATAATCAGATATAAAAGTTCTACATGTAAGTTAATTCATTAAATGATTAATGTGCAATAACCATTTTATATTCATTAGAAATACATAAATTACTAAAACAAAAAAGGATCAGATAATCTTCGGGTCACTGTGATAAAACTTCTAACATTTTAAAGAGACAAAAAAAGAAAGTAAATAAAAAAAAAAAAAACAGTACTCTTTGTAGTCTTGTATACAATCTAAATTCATGAAAATAATTGAACAAAATAGAAAATCTTCTAAATAGGTGCATCTTTCTGTCTCGTTTCTGGAATACATGTACCATCAACTTAATAACAGTTGCCATCAAAATGCAAACTTATCTGCACAGAATCAATATGATTTGCCTGGTAAAGTTGATCCCCATTATACCTTTTATAACTTTTAAGCTTATCGCTAGACCAAACAATAATATAGAATGTAGACCAATATGTCACCAATTTCAATATTAGGAATACATCTCAGATCTGGAGACCACAGAATATCAGAAACCTCAGGAGCTATGACCTCCTTCCCTCAATGACCAGTGTACGTCGTTTCAAACTTGAGATGGTGATGTCTGGTTCAACGTAATTTTCCTCGTTTAATATAGGCAATTGCAGTTCCAACGCTAGATCGCAAAGTCTAAGAAGATGATTCTTACTATAAAAATAGCCTCTTTTTTGTAGAAAAACTTCCAAGCCATTTACATTTTGAGATTTGAAGGACATTTTGCGCTAAACCGGAAATGAACATGCCCGCTGTCACATAGCTTAGGTACAAACTAAGTGCCGAAAATATACGGAATGAATTAAGGATGTACATCTCTGAGGAGCCAAAAATTTCTAGAATTAAACGTTTTTTCTTAACCTGATCTTTGGTTTTATAGAACGAGAACAAGATATTCTATCACAGGTTATTTTTTTCATTTGGTTTTATTTTCATGTGAAGCTTTCTTGTTTTTTGATGATATAAACACAAGTCCTTGTTTTTTGTCTGGATATTTGTTATATATGATGACTTTTAGTAACATAATGTTTAATGTTAACGTGTGTCGGTTGGCATGTTTGGTAAATGTCTCTTTGTCGTTAACTACTTTTCAATTTATCAATTTTGAACAATCTGATTAAAATACAGACCATTTGTCCACACTTCGCTTATAACAAGGATCTAACATCACTCCTTCTTGCTATCTGCTCTGATAATTTTTATATCAGCCAATCAAATGTTTGCTTCCAAATCTTGAAAGGTGTGTATCATTACGACAATTCCTGTGGATCCCAAAAATCGTTTAAACAGAAAGTTGAATGAAGCGTTCTTAGATCATCGAATTATAAGCGAAGCGTGGACACGTATTTTATATAGATTGAATTATGAAGGATTTGAAATAGATTTTGCAGCGTTATTCTGTCCCGTAGAATTGTTTCTGATTAAATCGACTAAAGGATTATACTCTTATTTTATTTACATACATTGTGAATACTTTTAGAAAACTATTTACACAGAAATACACGTTTCACCTGTTAGTAATTTCCATAGTTTGCAATACATACCACTTTCACATGTAAGTTCTTAAAAAGTCTCATGACAATGTTATAGGACAAATAGATGGAGATGGGACCAAATAATCTCCGTAGAAATGAGATGAGATGTGCTAACGTTAATTGAACTGCTTACCACATATCGTTGGCTTACTATAAGTAGTTTCTTTTAGACTGCCCTAATCACAAACTTCAACATTTTAACTGTGAAAAGCATTCAAAGTCAACAGACAATGTTTGAAATCGCTGAAACATAAACTATACATGAAAATAAGATATATCAATGTTATTACATCTGACTTACTATTAGAGGTTTCTCATAAAGTGACCTAATCTCAAAATTGAACATATAAATTATGGAAAATATAAAAAAAGACAATGGCCCATGACGAATGGGGCTGACGAAATAACTTCCATAGGAATGAGATGTACTTATATTATACAACTGTCTACCAGTTATCATTGATCTACAATGCATTTGAAAATAACACCTACCACATTTCGTGTTAAAATGACCTAACCAAAATTTTTCACTTTTGTTATCACCGCTTTCGCAGTCGTCAATGTCCTCCAAAAAAAAAACCCGACATTTTATTTTGTCCTTGTTGGTTTTATCCACTAATCCTTTAAAACATGTGTTTGTAAGAAATAAATCTAATGTATTTGCCTTTTGTAGAACTGTTCATCTCGTTTTTAGCAACTTATGGAAAATATAAAAATCTAACGTATTTATGGACTTTTTCCGTATCACCAGATAGAAGTCTAGCGTTTAGTACGTTTTGTTTAGGATTTAAAGAAGATGGCACGAATCTGTTGAGTAAACCGTTTTCAAGAATACCGAACAATTCGCATACCAAAGGTATGTCAACATCAGACGAATGTTCCGGATGATACATATTCTCAGCCGGTCCATATGACGATACAAAACACTTCTGTGTATCAAACATTTGGTTAGATTTGTCTGTTAGTTGATAGTAAACACTGTTTATTCCGATTGTCAAAGCACGCTTTTCGACAGCCTGAAAAAATGCCGTTTTCAAAAGGTATGACGGAATTAAACTTTCAATGCTTTCATACATGTATATCTCTTCTAGATCTTCTTCTGACAAACCCTTTAAATGTCCATAGTACTCCTTCATTTCCTCGTTTCCACCAAAATTTACTGTGGGCAAACTGTTTCTAATTTTAGGCAACATATTTCGAAATATTGCTATCTCGTGTAGAACCATTGAACAACGCCAAAGATCTTCATTTTCACCACTTGTCATCTTAGGAACAGCGATTGACGGCAACAGTAGCATGTCCTTCGTCAAAAGTATTGAATCTTTATTAACCGTGGGTGGCCATGAAGGTAATCTTACGGCTGGAACAATGTCAACGTTGATCTGAAGATCCTTAAATCTGGAACCTCTCCACTGCAATAAAACTTCTGGGTGAATAGTAACTTCCTTAATGATTTAGCGTTCGTCCTTGGGAAAAGAACTTGCAAACATAACTTTAGTAAGCAGCTTACTAAATAAATAATTCATTTGACAGCTGGATAATAAATCACCTTCACCAGCCCATTCCGACAGTAGATTGGAAATTATTTTGTCTGAAGAATGCAAATATACATATCCAGCTATGGACGTGACCTCTTCCTCCGGTTCAATCCCAATAAAAGCCTCAGAGATAGTTTTGTTTCCAGTATTATATGGAAGGGCTACTGCTATTTGAGTCATTGTTTCTTCTTCTTTGTATTCAGGATAAGATGCGTCACTCATTATATCGAGACAAAATGTAAAATCAAACTCATCCGGGTACCGTACTTTAGTTCCTTCTGATACACTTCCGATATGTAGAAGCGTACATTTAAATCTAGGATCATGTTTGCTTAATCATTTCTGCAAAGGTTGATGCCATTGCCTCAACTGCAAGTTGTATTTCTTTAACTTCTGATTCACAGTTTCTTGAGTAAGGCATTTCATGTTCGAATAATTTACCAACGAAATTATTCAGGTCTGTTTCGCTTTTTTTAATCATATCATTGCAAGTTATTATCTTTTCAAAATCATCTAAATGCATCAGAGAATCTGCATAGTTCGTAAATTTGCATACGGATTCGTTGTAACCGGTTCTATCTGTGTACTTTGACAATATACCGATAGTATCCTCGAAGGACCTGTATGAAGATAAATCAAACGCAGTGTTTCCGTTTTCGTCTTTAAAGTAAGGGTCGCCCTTGTTTTCCAGTAAAAGATCCACAGTACATGTGTTGTCATTCCAAGTTGCAAGATGTAATGGTGTATTGGAATGATTATCAGTTATATTTGCATTCATTCCTTTTTTCAGTAGCAACAGCACAATATTGTCTGAACCATTTGATGGCGCAATGTGAAGTATTGTACGTCCTTTAATATCACCTCGATCGCAATTTGAACCGTAATTCATCATTTCTTCAACAATTTCAATGTGTTTTCTCTCTGTGGCTAAATGGATGACAGCCTGTCCCCAAAAGTCTTTTAAATCAGGCTTACATCCGCCGGAAATTAAAACGGAGCAGGTTTCAACAGAATTTGCAAAATGTAATGGAGTTCTTCCGAATCCGTCAGAAATATTTGCGTTGCTGCCTCGGCTTAGGAGAAAAGATACAATTCTATCGGTAGTTTTCTCAGCAGCATAATGAAGTGGGTTTTTACCTGCCGCATCAGTCACGTCTGCACAATCTTCTCTTTGCAAAAGTTTGTCGATTCCAGCTAAAAATAACGTTACATCTCCTTGATCAAACAGATGATAATGATCCAAAAGGTAATGAATTGGACACATTCCTTGAAAATCATGTTCTTTCAGAACTGCATTTTGAGCCACGAGTAAACCTATAATGTTGGAAGTTTTTGCATTCTGACATGCATGATGAAGAGGACTTCTTTTTAAATTATCTAGTGTATTTACATCTATTCCGTAGCGAATGAGAATTTGAACTGTCTTAAACCTATGTTCGTCAGACGAAATTTTACATGCAAGGTGTAATGCATTTTGTCCATTATTATTTGTTTGGTTAATGTCCGCACCATTATTCAGGAATAATTCTGTGATGCTATCATTCCCAAATTCCGTCGCTTTATGTAAAGGTGCGTTCCCTAAATCATCGATAGCAGTCACAGATGACCCAGAATGAATAAGTAGTTTCGCTATTTCAAAATTTCGTACTATGTTTAAAGGAACACATTTATTTGGGTTTATGCATGCACCGTGTTGTATCAACATTTGCACCACTTGAAAATGATTATTTTGCACTGCCATGTAAAGTGGGGTATTTCCTCTATCATCTTCTAGGTCAATTTGTACATCATCAGCTTTCAACAATGTCACAACACGTTCTACATCTCCATCAACAGCAGCTGAATGAAGATCACTTTTTGCAGTAGCAGTATAGTCTGTCGTGTATTTCGTTAAAAAGTCTGTGAATGGATTTGAACTTGCCATTGCAAATAACTATCTGAATAAAAAAATATATTTTTATAGTGCGAATAAAACAGTATACTTTTTTACAAGAATAAAACAAATGATATGATCGATCTAAATTTCTAACATTAAATCTTTTTGTTCTCTTATGGTTGAAACCTGTTATCTTTTTTCGCCTGAGAAATGATATTTTTCGTATCACACTGCACGGAGTCTTGTTCTCTTATGGTTGCGGTCTGTTATCTTTTTCTGGCAAGAAAAGATATTTTTCGTATCACGCTGCACGCGTACTGTATATGATATGAGAAAAAAGTGATACGAAAAATGTGTTAACTTGATTGGTTTATCCAGCATCATAAACAATACTACGATATTTCCGTTGGCTATTCTTTAGGTCATGGATGACTTTCAGAGGACAAAAGATGTATATTTCAACCATGGCAATGGAAATATGTAATTTTTTGAAAAATACATAAAACACACCCGTTCCTCAAAGATTTCATTTTTGTCAAATAATATTACATTTTGAAGCGTACACAAAGTTTTAAATTGCTAATGTTAAAGTTTGACACAGGAACAGGACATATGACATCATACTGGTATGTGTAAAAGACTAGATTAACGAAACGTCGACATTTCTATTAATAAACACAAAGTGAATATTTATCATAAAGGAAATAGGTCAGTCGTGGGAATTTGAAATTAGCCCATAGGCTCGTTGGTTATTATATTGAAATAAGCGATATCCAATTGTTCCGCGTGATGAAACCTTTCATTATCAAACCATTTAGAACAAAAATATCTGGCAGTTTGCGGTTCCATGTTACCCATGTTACCAATCTTTTTTGTTTATCTTTTCCGTACATAAGGGCTTACTGTTGGGTATGAGTTTTGCTCATTGTGAAGGGCCCTACGATAAACTGTAGTTGTTGCAATTCTTATCCTTGGTCTTATGTGGATATTTGTCTTATTTGCAATCATACCATATCTCTTTATATTAAAAGAGTCAAATCTCTATTGAAAGAGGATATTCGATTCTTAAATAGACATGATATATCCACATAAGTTCAGAAAAGTGTATTTTGTAAGTGTGCACTCATTACTGGTGGAATTACTGGTGGAAAATTTCCAAAAAATGTTTGATATGATTTACTTGGTAATGATGTTTTCTTTTGGGTTTCACGTACCGAAAATGATATTGATAGGAAATTCTTCTAAACCAGAGAATATGTGTTGGTCTGCCACACATTGGGTTAATAAGAAAAAAGTAGATGTGGGTTATACTTGAGTAGGATCACTTTAGTCGTCAGCAATATAATTAACAATATGTCAAGCTATACACATAAGGAGCACAAGGAGGTATGGTATGATTTACAATGAGACACCTATCTACCAGAGACAAAATGACGTTAATGTAAGCAACCAGTTAATCATATTACGTAATTCCTAAGTTAAAAAGTTTCAGTACCAAGTGTATTAAACGAATGTCTTTATGTTATTTTTAAGGGTTAGAAGGTTAATACATTTTTCTTATAATTGAAATTCGATATCTTAACATGTTATGTAACCTTCTAACCACCATAGAAGATGTTTCACAACAAATTTCGTTACTATTATTGCTCAAGACTTTCTCCATCTGAAATGGTCTTATACAAATAGTAAAGCTGTCAAATTTCATACCATGGAACCCCTCAGGGACGTAGTTTATAACGCAATCTATTTTTTAATAGTTTGTGCAGCCCTCAAATTATAGAATGAATGAAAAATCAAATAATGTATGCAGAAAGGCTGATAAAAACGAGTGAAATGCCACGGCAATTTTTGAGGCGTTTCTCTTGTTTAACAAAACACGTGATTAAAACAAATTGGTATGGGGGTGTATGAATTGTAGAAAATTTATATATGACTACAAGTTTTTCATTATAAGCCAATGGATAGTCTTTAATAATTATTTAAAATGATATATATTTAGATAAAAATATTTTTGAACTAAATTCATATTAGCGAGATTTTTTGAATCTACTGAACACCAGTTATTTCAATTAACATGGCATTAATAATAATAATAACTCGACATTAATTTTGTATGTATTTTCCTAATATGTGTCTTATTGGTAATTATCTACATCTAAATAGTAACTGATATATAAAAAAAGGAGTGATGATCCGGAACCAAATAAAGTCGTACATTTCCTCTATTCAATGGGATTAGAGGCTGTCAGTCTTTTGTGACGTGTGAAGTAACACAATTAATTTAGACAACCAGAAGTAAGATTCTTAAATCTTTAGAAAAAGAAGTTCAGTGCCCTGTTTAGAAAAGGCATAAAGCGTGTCTCTATATTTACTTCCTCTACTATAAAACCACTATTTGTTTATTTCCTGTATCTATATTGATTTACAATTGTTTAGTACTGTTTCCTATATGATTCTAACCTAAAAATGTTCTTACCTAAATATAGATTTTATTCTTTCTTCATTGTAAATTTCTTGTAAATATACTATCATGCACGTTGTAGCTCTTACACCATAACTAAATGTTGAAAGCTTTTAAGACTAAGTTCTGACGTCATTTAAAAATATCTACATACTTTCTATAATTAAAAATCAGCAGACCAGTAATTGTCAATCATCAAATCCCCGCCTATTCAAAGTAGTCCTATTCGTAATACAGGTGATAATAAGCAATTAAAATTAATGATATTTGGAATATGATCTGAAAGGTAAACATTAAAGGATTGAACTGAAGTGAAAAGATGAATTTTTAGTGAATGTCAAACAAATATATTTGGACGTACGTAAGACAACCATCGCATGAAATAACATGAAATAACATAAAATAACTAAATATCGAAACCACATTGATTTAAAAATTGTATTTATCTTTATGTATGGATAGCGCATCGAAGATAAACTAAAAAGTTTGAAAAGCGTTTCGAAAGCTACCAAATTGACATTAAAGCTCGTAGTGTTACTCCGATAAAATACGTTATATCAAGTAATTAGGCATCATACAAAGTTTCATAAAGATCAAAACGGAGTCTAGTGTCAATTTGAGCAGTACGATTCAAAACCCACCAAAATATGTTGAAGGAACGCATGCTGACTTAGAGATAAATTGCATATTAATTATGTGAAGAAAACTAAGGTTAGAATTGATACTTATAATACAAATTTTTTTTTAAATGACCCAAAAGATATAGGTATATGTATACATCAATACGACAGCAGGGTAACGACACAAATAAACAACAAAACTCAATCCTCTACCTTTTTAAAATTATTAGTTATTAGTGGAATAACAAAATATACATGAAAGATTGTATACTAGATAAACTAAAGCACTGAACTCTATAATAAAGACAAAAGAAAAAACAGGCACGATCAATAGAATACCAACTACTAGTATATCTGTATCGAAAAAGGTTTGCTACAATATGAAGCAAGTATTTGTAAAATAATAACCTGATGATATAGATACCATACTATTTTAAACGCTATTACACATGTTATACGCTGCCTTGTTTTGATGAAGTTTAAATACAACTTTATGCATAGTGAAGAAAGACATGATCGTAGAATATAAAAACAGAAAAATTAAAGAAACGGAAAGGTAAATTACTGTCGCCTTAATTTAAGTTTTGTTTTAAATTTTGAATAAGCTAAGTAATTCTATTCTCAAAATACAGGACACAATAATTTAACAACAAAAGTTTAATTCTAATATTTTTCATTACAAAACATTATACCAAAAAGAAAGACTTGAAGGTCAGTAACTGAGTTTGTGAGCTTCATAGAAAATTTAAAAATAAACTGTTTGTGAAGCAACAATTTTTCTTTATGTTGCAAGCGACAAGTCCAAATCCTGATACAACCATCGGAGAAATTTATAGCAGCTTATAAAGAAATATGATGCAGTTTAAATGTTATAATCACGAGAAGTCATCTCATCAAGAAACAACCCATATCTGAAAATTCTTAAGGAGTATACACATTAAATACAAGGGACGAGTTTTACAGTATCATCAACCATGACTGGAAAATGACAAGGAGCATACACCGGATTCATTAACACAAGGATGCGTTTTACTGTAGCAAATCATTATACATTACGAGACTCTTGTAATAAATTGGATAAAATATGATATTGATTTTATAAATTAGAATTTATCATAAAATATATAATGGATCTATTTTTGGACCCATTGCTAAGATATATAACAAATTTAGAACATGCATGTACCTTCTTTCTTGACTTGCAAATTTTGGTGATTTTGAAATGTAAACAATTTTCATCATCGGTTTTTTATCATTCTTCTACAGTTTTCAGTTATCATTACGCCAACTAAACAAGATTAAGTATTGCATACGCAAGTATGCCCAGGTCCTTGATTCATATACTTCTTATAAAAAGTGTTAACGTTAGAACACAAAACTTGTCTCCTGTTAAAGAATGTATTGTCGTTAGGTTACTGTCTCATTGACATATACCGACATCACTTTTCATTAGAATAAACAGGCGTTTTGTGATAATATATATATCCTTGACAATTTATGTTAGGTTGTCTCGCTTTTTGCATTAGATGTCTACGATCTACCTGAAATTATTTACATTAAAAATTTATATATTATAACCGAATGACGTCTTCAATAATTATCTTTTTCGAAGTAACTCGAATAATTACTGTGACCTTTGTCGGCAAGATCGATACTGAGCGGAATATAACATCTGGATTATTGCGATAAATTTAAGAGGAAATAATAAAATGTTATATGTTTTTACCTGAATATTGTAATCAATAACCAATAGCGTCCTTGCGGGGAACATGCCAAATATTGAAGAATTGAATGTGGGAGAGAGATCCTTTTTTATTAACAAAATCTGGTAGTCGAAGGGATATGGATTAATTGTAATCATTTTTATAACGATACTGTCACAGAACAATTTTGTAACATTAATCTTTAAGCCGGTAGTATCAAAAAATTGTTTTTATTCTAAATACGATTTGGATAGTTTCAATTAGTGATATGTTTATGAGGAGAATATCCCACCGCCAATGCAAATACCGACATATGCAGGCAATAAGCCAAATATATATCATACTGCTCACCATCAACATATGTGGCCAAAGACTGCGTCATACTCTTCAACGCAAATTAAACAAGAACTTAGTGGCAATAGAAATGTTATACCAACTTCAGCACAACAGTCTTTTTTTAGCACTTCAAAGCCTCAACCTGAACCGTATGTAACAGAAGAAACAGGCGTCGAAAAATCAGAGAGTTCTCAAATACAACTTGTCTCATTCAACTGTAACAACATAAAACGTGTGGACCAATAATACATACACTTATACAAAGTAATGATATAATTCTCAATCAGGAGCATTGGTTGTTCCAAACATAGCTACATCTATTCGGTGAACTTAATGAACATATAAACTATATAGGCAAGGGGGTTGATATGAATAATCTGCTATTACCAATATGTATGCCTCGAGGATACGGAGGAGTAGCCATCCTATGGAAGAAAAAAATTGATCACATGATAAAACCAATAGACCTAGGATAAGAAAGAATACAGTGTATAGAAATCAAGGAAAACTCCAACTCCAACATACTCTTAACATCAGTATACCTACTAGCAAAAGGGAGTAAAAACCATCAGAATACCAAAACGTAATTGATCAATTATATAAGCTATACCAAAAATACAATGAAAACCATAAAATTATTATAGGATGAGATACAAACGAGGATCTGAATGTACAAACAGGCACAAAACGCAATCTATACCTGCGAGACACTTCATAAATGAATGCGGCTTAAAATATGACAACATGGCAAACACTTTTGTTAATTCAATAGGAGAAGAATCCTCAGAAATTGATTACTTTATGCATAACCTTGCGGATCAAGACTTTCAAGCAAAACAAGTCCTAAACGAACTGAAAGAAAATACATCAGACCACCATCCTATCCGTATCAGCATAACATTCAAGTACAAAAATAAAATAAGCAAAACGACAGCAGGATAAAAAAGAAGGTCAATTGGGATAAGGTTGACAAAGAAAGGTACTCTGCCCACATTGATACATATATTGACAGTCTCCAAATAAACGAAAATATGGAAGAAACAGCAGTAGAGGAAGCCATACTAACATTTTGTGAACTACTTAGGGAAACACCGACCTCACCTCATCATCAAAGGCAATATTCAATGCCAAACCAAAACTGAAAGTGTGGACACCAGAAATCCAAGTAGCAATAAAAACAGCGAGGATAACAGATAAAGTATGGAAAAATCATGGGAAACCCAACAAAAAATAATAAAATGTTTAAGGAGAAGAAGCAATCTAAGAAGGACATCAGACGTGCAGTACAAATTGAACTAGCTAAAAAAAACCAAGGAGAAGGAAACTATCCTAGAAACAAGGACAAAAGATGCGAAAATGTTTCATAAATTGGTCCGTAACAACAGGAAAAAAGGAAATGATGCGATCATGGAACTAGAAGTCAATGGGGAAAATAAGTTGAGAACGATAATATTATCAATGGATTTCAAGAACATTTTAGCAGTCTGGCAACATTCATTGAGAAAACACGTATAGACAGCCTGTTTCATAATTTAGTTGAAGACGATATTCAATCAATAAACAAGATTGTACAACAAAATAACATCAAAAACGTAACATCTGAAGAAATTAAAAGCTATCCGTTCTATAAACAAAGGTAAATCGGCAGACTACCATGGTATAACAATAGAGCATATCATCTACGCAGGATCTGATACAGATAAACTTCACGTTCCGCTGGTTCAAGGCATATTCAAACATGGGAGCATATCAGAAACACTCAAGATGGGCCTTTTAACACCATTATTTAAAAACAAGGGAACAAAGTAGCAAGCTATCAACTACAGAGGAATTACTGTGCTGCCAGTCATAGGAAAGATTTTAGAAACTATCATCAAAGAACGTACAAATGACCTTGTCCTGGAAACACAAAACAAAAAGCAAAGAGGTTTTACAGCCACTGAATTCAGCCATACCAATAGAAGAAAGTTACAGAGAATCAAAAGACAACACTATATCTCTCTACCTTGTACTTCTAGATGCAAAAGCATTATTTGACATAGTTATACATAGCCACATGCTTCGAAGGGTATTCTTGGTAGGGATTTATGATGGACATTGGGAACTGATTAAAGACCTGCACGAAAACGCCAAAAGTGTAGTCAAATGGGAAGGAAATATCTCTCAACCATTTCAAGTTAACCAAGGAGTCAGACAAGGAGGTATACTCAGTACTAACCTGTATAAACTCTACATCAATCAACTTATTAATATGTACGAAACAACTGGTGCTGGCTATAAAATAGGAAATATTTGTGTTAACAGTACAGCATGTGCAGACGATATCGCACTAATCAGTCAAGATTCTGATCAAGCACAAATATTCAGTAATATGGCTTATGACTATGCATATATGGAAGGCGACGAACTACAACCAACAAAACGTGTAGTCAGAATATCTCCCATAGCGAAAACAGGAATCTAA